CCCTACCGTCCAGTTACACCCGCCACGAGCTCCTTGTCATAATCGCGAAACAAAGAAAAACCCTTCGACAATTGAGTTTGTATATAAAGTCCCAGTCACACTGTCACGATTTTAGTTCACGGTAAGCTACGATTCAGGGATCCGTGAATATTCTTAGACATCCGCAGTTAGTACCGTGGTGAGCCCTGATAACTCGAATTAATCCTGAATGATCCGTAAATCATTATGACTGTTTTGAAACAGTCGTGGAATATCGGGACGCTCCGTTGTTTCTGGAACATCGTAGTCGGTCCGTACTGTAATCCTTATATCGCCGTGTAAGCACCGTATTGACTTTCGTGGAGATTCGGGGACATTAGTGACAAATAGCTCTACGCTTGTTTGAAGAAAACGACGGTTGAAATACGGTAGATGACGGTTGTTAATGACGATCCGTAATGAACCGTAACCAACCTACCTTGTAACTCAGTTGAAGAAAGACAACGTCAAGGAAAAAATACGAATATTGACGACCTACCAATATTTTCACAGGCTGCACAACGGTTTCTGACGGACAACTACTATGGTTGTACGGTAATAGACGCGTGGAGTACAATATTTTACGGTTTTTAATTCACTTGTTTCTCCAAATCATGCAGAATAACCAAATCCTGTTTCGATCCAGATCTTCATGGATTTGATACTTAAACTCAACCATCAGCACAGATTTCGACTTTCTTAACAGGCAACAAGCACAGAATAACATCATCTTGGCACATGCTTCTCTGAACCAGAGGAAAAGAAAAAGAAAGAGGAGAACAGTTTGGGTCAGACCATGGTTGCAGAGGCGTGATCTCTTGGGACACTACACCAGACTTATGGGTGAACTCAATATCGAAGATCTTGGAACCTACAAAATTTTTTTTAAGAATGGAGCCTGGGATGTTCCAGGAGATCCTGTTCAGAGGATCGCATTAGAAAGAATGATACTTGGTGTAGGAAGGTTATTCCTCCTGGGTTAAAGTTGGCTATAACCTTGCAATACCTTGCATCAGGAGATAGCTACCACTCATTAATGTATGCTTTCAGAGTTTCCAACAATGCAATCTCCCTCTTGATACTTGATGTTTGTGAAGCTACCATCGTGCTTACTTAGTAAACCCCCGATGAATGGAAGACCATCGCACACGGATTTGGAGTTCGATGGCAGCTGCACCATTGTCTTGGTGCACTTGATGGCAAACACATAACTATCAAGTGTCCAAAAAATGGTGGTTCTCTCTACTACAATTATAAGGGCTTCTATTCTGTAATTTTACTAGCACTTGTGGATGCACACCATAAGTTTGTTTGGGTGGACGTTGGAGCTAATGGTTCATCGGGTGATGCTCAGGTTTTTAACAATATACTACAGGGGTTCCCAGCACCAGATCCTCTCCAAGCTAATGACAAGAACATACCTTTATAGTTGCTGATGATGCCTTTGCCTTAAAGACTTGGCTCATAAAACCATTTTCAAAGCGTAATCTGACAGATGAAGAGAGACAGATGTCAACAGAGAGAACGCTTTTTGGCAAACACAACTACGACAATGTGACAACAACCTAACACAATCGTTTCAATTGTTCACGAAGCGACATATCAAAAACGAAGAACCAGATGAAAGGTCTAATTTTAATTAGATTGTCCTTGATCAGGAAGATCAAAACCACAACATTATTCCTGGATCATGGAGAGATAAGCAAGTCCTGATAGACGCAAATGATATACGAGGGCCGTTCAAAAATTACGCGGACTGTGCTATTATCTACTTACGACAATGTGAAATTTAACAACAGACCTAAACACATATCGTATTTTAAAAAAATTTCTAAAATTAATTGATTCACTGAGAGGAAGCATGACAAAAAAATTGAAGCAAAAGCATGCGGAATCCAAAAATTAACTCATATATTTTCTATAATTCGCGATTTTTTTCGACAATTTTCTCAAATGTATCTTTAAATTGTTCTATTATTATGTATTTAGATTTCTGGCGTGATATTTGAAGTACTAACAGAAATATAGTGATTATTCTCTGATGCGATTACCGTGAAAACGACTGTGTCCTTGATCATTTTGGTAAAGATCACATATATCCCACATGTAGTAAACATTATCGTCACAAATAGCAAATTGGACATAAAGAGGCTATGGAGAAAACTTTAGACTGTTAAAAACGTGCAAGTCACCAATATCACACTATATCTGATAAATACCTGCAGTTTTCGATTTTAAAACAAAAAAATAATATTATTCTACTTGTTTAATAGATTTTAAGCTTGACAAGAAATCTTATGGTGTTTGGATGTTGAGTAGATAAGGTAACTCAAACTGTACAGGTACTATTGGGAAAATGTTGAGAAAATGAAAACTCAATCACATATTTTTTTTAATGCCTGTGACGTCGAAGATTTTGCTGCTCCGTGACTTAATGATATGTCCTGATAAATCACTCAAAATTGATACCAATTTACAACATTTTGATATGAAATTTTGAAGAGCATATAAGTAAAGATTCTTTTATATTATGTGTGACATTTTGCCCGATTATGTCGTCAAATATTTTTTATGTGCAATAAGTCCGCGTAATTATTGAACGGCCCTCGTAGTTGGTGGTAACAGGCTTACTCGGGCTGCTAAAGCCCAAAGAGAGTATCTCAAGGCTTACTACAACTCGGAAGCAGGAGCAGTGCCTTGGGAGGGAAACATGATTTGAATCAATTGTCAAAGGACTTATTTTTATGTGCTTATTTTTATAAAGAAGTGAATAATAGTGATCTCATTTGAATAAAATTTTACACTGTATATATAGTTTAAAAACACATCCACTTGTCAATCAAACGAATTATCAAATATTTGAATTTTACTAGTATTTTTAAATTCGTGAATTAGTCGCAAATCAATTACACGTACCTGTATATTACAAAAATAGTGTGTATAAAGTACATTTGTTTGCTCATCAAATGTTTTGAAATGTAATCAAAGTCTGCCCAGCACCGAGGGTAAAAATGTTCTAGTCTATGGGCTGATCAGACATAGGATAACTTTTGTTACCTAATAGTTAACAAATCCGTACTTCGCAAACGACTGTCTGGCACAATGGCGTCGGAAGCAAATTGAAAGTGGGGGAGGGGCTATGTGAAAGAGAACAAAATTCAAACCTAAAAAATTAACCTGACAATTAAACCAAGAAAATGTAAAATGTGCCCAGAGTCCAAACAATACTATTCCTTTGTCGTGGGGGGTGATCGAACTTCTTTCAGTACCAATCTCCCCCCCCCCCCCCCCCACAACACTGCCACTTACCTTTTTTGACCTAAACTGTTACATACCTGTTGAACTTACGTCCAAATTTGAATGCCTACATTCAGTCATTTTATGACGTCTGCAGATTTCGCTGAGGGGTTTAGAGAATAGACAATAGAGTCTCAGAACCGAGCCTTGGGGTACACCGAATTTTAGAGAACTAGCATCAGACAACGATGAACCAACATCGACGCGTTGTTGTCTGTCACTGAGGTAAGATTTGATCCATTTCAACGAGGATCCTGTAATACCAAACATATTGTCCATACGCTGAAATAGGATGTCGTGGTCTATAACGTCGAAAGCCGCGGATAGGTCGAGCATAACAAGAAAAGCACAACAATTTTTATCAAGTGCGCATATGATGTCATGGTGAACCTTCAGAAGCACAGTTTCTGTGGAATGCCCCGTTCTGTACGCAGACTGAAAATCATCATGCAGTTGATACATTTCCAGATGAGCGTCGATTTGTTTTGCTACAACCTTTTCAAGTATTTTTGAAATAAAGGAGAGATTTGACACAGGACGGTAATTTTTGAAATTATCTTTATCTAATCCTGGCTTTTTAAGCAACGGTCGAACAATTGCCTGTTTAAAGACACCAGGGACGTTAGAGTCCAACAGCGACTTGTTTATGATTGACGTGATAGTCGGCAAGAAGCTTCCAATGCACTGCTTCAGTAGATGTGTAGGTAAGGGATCAAGTTCACATGATTTTACTGATGCTTTCATTAGGAGTTTCCGAATCTCTTCTGCAGTTGCGGTCGCGAAATTAGAAAGCTGCTGACCATCAAATGAAATATCAGCGTGAAAGGGATCTATTACATCAATATTCGAGGTGTTTGACTAACACAGTGTTCCTCGGATATTGCGTATTTTCCCTTGAAAATATTCAGCAAAATTTTCCGATAATTCCTTTCCGCTTGCAGAAGGTAAAACCGGGTCGGACTTGTTTCCCATAAGCTGGTTCGTCAAACAGTAAATCTTCTTGGAGTCTCTACCACACTCGGTAATTTTATTTGAATAGAATTCCTTTTTGCACTGCGTTAAGGAGTAGCTGTATGATCTAGATGATTCTTGGTATATAAGATGGTGAACAGTGAACTTTGTCCGTCGCCAAGTGCGTTCTGCTTTTCGCTTATTTCGTTTGAGCGTATGCAGATCTTCTGAAAACCAGTGCGCATTCTGCCGAATTACTGCAGTTTTCTCGTGCAACGGTGCATGATCATTTAACACCTCCCAAATACGCTCGTTGTACAGGTCTACCATGTTTTCAATTGGAACATCGCTCCGTATTTCTGATAGACGAGATTCAATATCAAAGCAAAATTTATCGTGATCAATTTCGCGTATTTTGCGAAAAGAGAACGACTTCCATTGTTTTTGTGGTTTTTGTGCTAGAAGGGTGGCATCACCCTCTAAGATAGCAATAGGGGTTCTGGAATTATTGCTCTCTGATGTCAGTCTAGACAAGTCCTGAATGCAGCATGACGAAGGGCTCAGTTGCGTCAACGTCAGGGTAGAAAAAGAGGATGCAGGTTTAACTGATGGCTGTCCAGCAGATGGAATTGACGTATCCCATGCAGGAGATGATGTTGTTAGGTGAAGAGTGCTGGTTCCTGGGGGAATGATATGCGGGCTGCTCACAATGCAGTTGGCTAGGCTGGTTGTAGTTAGGCTGATATTGCCAGCTGTCGTTTCAATGATTGTGTGATGATCTGAACTATTTTTGGAGATGATGTGAACTGGAGAAGGACAGAAGCCTGTTGTTGTTGTTGTTGTTGTTGTTGTTGACGTTGTTTGTCACGCTGTGTTGTTCTGGCTACCGAGGCCCTCAGTTCGTTCGACTCCTCCACAAAATCTATGACAAGATGAAATGAATGCCTGTAAAACTTGAGAAGTAAATGGTCGTGGATTTTGCTCGACATGGATCCAATCCACGAAGTCCAAGCAACACGGGACGAAGCCGGGTCTTCTGTTTACCCTTTTTTAAACACACTGTCAATCCAAGCTCCGGACAGCTCAGTATTACGTTACGCTACAACTCCATATCATTATTATTCGAAGGGCACAAAAGTAGTCCCGGAGAATTGACACTGTATGGAGTTTGTCTGTCAATCTGAGAATGTAACTCATTTGTCGTTTCCTCCTGTTGGCCCAACTTTCCTATCAAAAGTTCCGTCTCCCGGTCAAGGTCTTTGGTACACTTTGGATTCTATTGAGATCGAGAAAGGGTCTTATTCGCAGTCTGGCCCTAACAAAAAAAAAATTATACAGGGTTACAAGTAGTATACTTTGCTTATGTCAGCTATAGTTTACTTTTGTAAATTCAATTGCGATGTATTTCTATATTTATTGCATGAAAGTAAGTTTGCCAAGAACTTCAGATCTCTACTTGTATAAATTAACAGTTCTCATACGAAACCTTTTGACATTAACAGGAACGAGTACTTGTACCATTTCAAAAATATTCATTGTTGATATGAAATTTGAGGGATCCAAATGTATGTAATCTTAAAGAAATCTTGATTAATTTTTTCTTAAATCAACCTTTTAAAGTACACATATGTATTTATTTTAGTAAACTAAATTATTTTCTCTAGGAAGGTGGGGTGGTAGGATGTACCTGCGAAGTAACAATTTTTGGTCTAGATTCATCCAGCTCTGAGTCCGAATCAGGAGTAGATAATGCGTTTTTTCCCGAAGCAGCAATCTTTGCTTTCAACTGCAAAAAATAATTTTGAATAATGTCAAGTCAAACACTTAAGGACATACGCAAGGTACCTTACCTACTGATAACTTTTCAAGAGATTCTAAATTTAAACTTATAATACCATTACATGTTCTTTGACAAAAAATCAGCATGTGTTACCAGGGGTTTTGAAAAGATATCAAATTATGATTTTTTTTTGCATTATTCAAAGAAAAATGTACAAAAATTACAAAACATAATTCCAGAATTTTTTTCATCGAAATTTGTTATAGAAGAAGTATACATCCATATATAGACATTAAAAGTATTGCACACAGGTCCTTTATTTAGTGGAACTCTTCAACTCCAGGGGAGAACCCAATAAAGTTCAAAATACGTTGCGTATGACCTTAAAATGCAGTATGTAGAAAACCAAAATATGGGTAGCATTTTACAAAATCAGCGCTGTAAAAATTCATCGTAATAAATGCTTTATTTACTTACATTTATTCCTTGTCTACTCGGAACTCTTGCGAAGTGCTGTTGAAGAAATAAAAAAATTATCCATTATGAACCGATCTCTCTGCGTCATTTCCCTCGCCTCTGCCTCAGACCTGTTCAACGTCAGTTTGCCCAGCCTCGTTTGAACGCTCTCATACCATCTTCTAAGTTCTCCTGCAGACTCCATTTTTAACTCTGTAGCTTTTAGGTGCCATAACTGATTCTTTTTACCGGTGTCCCAATTGGCTTTTAGCCTCTTTGAATATAGGCAAGGATTTTCTCTAAGCTAGATTTATTTCATTTTCCTCTGACAAGAGGATAGAGCTTTTTCTTTTTTTCTTTGAAGGGACCTCTTCGTCACTGATGATGGGATAGAGGAGGGGGGGGGTTGTTCACTCTCGTTTTCACCTTTATCTTCCTTGGCTTCATGGTCGGTCTTGTGGGGCTGTCATCGACAGGAATAGTCTTCTTTTCTTTCTTTTAAGGAAGAGTGATGTTTGATTTTTTAGCATTACCTCTTCTGAGCGACATCTTTACTACTGTGTACCTTTGTATTGATGCTGATGTTTTTCTATAACGTGATTTCCTGAATTCCTTACAAAATGCGTAGAGTGATATTAGGAAAGTCTTCGAATCGTTATTCGTCGGATGTCCGTACATACGCTGTTAAAAACTGTAGATTGACCGTATGAATGCCTTGGTCATCCTTGGTGTGACCGTTGTATTGTACGACTTCAACAAGGGGCACCGCGTTTATCCGTGACGGTGTCCGTACTGAGAGAACCGTGTTCCTTAATGAAACAGTACTGAAACCTTCATATACCGTTGTATAATCTTTAAAAAAAACGTGCATATTATTTTTCGCGCCAAAAAAAGTATCAGCGTCACGATCTTACACGGTCTTTAAAATATCGAATCAACTGAGAGATATAAACTCCGTTTGCAGGTGATGAAGGTACTGATATTGCTGTATATGTAAGGGAAGTTAACGATTGAAAATTTAAAGTTATCTCGTTTGTCATAAAGCTTGCTTGATAGACTACCATTAACGCCTTCTTCAAGGAAATTATCCAAATATGAAACAGATTCCGTGGCATCTTTTATTTCAAGCTTACCGATACATATCGTATGGTCTATGTCCTTGCATGTCGTGCGTTTTGGGTAAAGTCTTCTATGAGTATTTGTTCGACTCGGATCATTCCTGTGTCTGGTGTTTATCTGCCGCTTTTGGAAGAAAACTTACTTTGAGAGGCTGAATTTTTAACTGTATTGAATTATCATCATCTAAATTATCTTCTAAAAGCACTCTGATAAGGTTGATTGTAAAGAGATTATGAATCATTGACAGCATGTATGTAATCCTTGGAGACAGGTCTTCCAACAAACTGTCTGCTCCTTCATAACCGATCTGTCTTCAAATTCTTCTGAAGCAGTACGCAAAAACTTTTACAGGAAACTTAAACTCGACTCCAGATATCTCGAAAACGTTTTATCAATTTAATAATAGTCACTTCCATTCATATATTGACTGAACTCGAAATTAAAAGACAATAGAGAAACTATCCAGTGTCTGTCTGCCAGTGTTTATGGTTATAAATTACCGTTATGATTCCAAAACTTGCAAAAATGTTTCCTCGGTTAAATGGGATATAAGTGTGTTGAAATGAAAACTTAAATGTGTGTGTGATAACTCTTTGAAAGTTGTCGGAGTTTATTTCTTGATAAAGGCAGGTCGATAGGTCAGCAGCTAAGGAGGTCTAATACGCATGCAAATCTCGTGCGCATCTGTCTCTGTGTATGACGCTAAGGAGACCTAATATGCATGTAAATCTGGTGCGGCTGCCTTTGTATTTGACGTCAGTGGGCGAGGACTATTGAAATTAGCATGGAAGTCCTCGTGTGATTTAAATCTACAATTTTATTTCACAATGAAATGGAAATATAAGGAATCACTGTCTAGTTTTGAGAGTATGCCAGGGACATCAACAATAGTGGGAAACATGGGATAATTTTAGCATAACGGGCTTCGCCCGTTATGCAAATTATCCCATGTTTCCCACTATTGTTGATGCCCTGGCATACTCTCAAAACTAGACAGTGATTCCTTAAGTATTTTCACTTGCATGCAAGTTAGCGCAGGATAGATTGAAAACAATTTTATCTCTTTCATATCATAGTAGGATTGGATCAAAATGCCGAGCTTATACTCAGAAGTGGCATTAAATTTTAATGGTTAAATCCTATTTCCAACTTCATTTTTTCCCTGAGATTTGTGCAGAGTGTAATTTTGGTCTTTTGATCAGAACGTGTATAAATTCAATTGAACGTTATTTATAGATAATGTTATCAGAACTATCAATGACTGCGTGAATGTTGACACAGGCTGATTAATTGAGGATTTTTTTTTTGTAGATAAAGATTATTGATATTTCCAAATATTTTTTTTTTAGATTTGTTTCCCTGTTTCCAAAAAACTGCCTAAAACTGACTTTATATGATATAAAATATTAAGCTTGGTTTCTTCAGTTAGAACAAGTTAAAGCACTGTCTTTCGCTCATTTGTACACATAGAATAAAACATTATTTGTACCATACTATTTTTGTCGTCTTTCATGACTTTGAAGTAAATGTAAATTTCTATTCTTAGTTATTTAACTTTTTGTTTTGTCTTCCATCTATATAACAAGGAAAGCGGTGCCTCGTATGGAGCTTCCTTTAGTAGGGCAGCTCAAACACACAATTACATTGCCGTACTAAATGGAAAACTTCATATTTATATTATGAGTATTTCTTTATGTACTTGTTTGTTATCAGATATAGTTTTGATGCCTTGTTTTGATAAATTATCCAAATATGAGACCGATGTGTCAGACGCCATGGTGGCTTTTATTTCAAATTCCATTGGATTACCTGAATGTCAAATCAAAGACAACAGCAAGAAATTTCTTTGCATTTAGAATATTTTCTAAATAAAATTTATTTCATATGAATCTGATAACAGGTCTGCTAAATACCAATTTGAATAGATTTCTGGAAGATTTGATCTCCAGAATCTACACAGATATTATTAGTATCTATCAGAAACTCCAGCATCTTTTACTATTAACTTCAGAGTACTTGTCTGTGATATATATTAGTATTTCAGTGTACAAACAAAATGTTTTTACAAGATAATTTTGCAGATGACCAAGGACAAGGTATGTTAATTAACAATTTCATTTTTTTTAATTAAAAAGGCTGTTGTCTATGATGATTATATGGAATTTTTGTCATAATATCAACCCACCTCCTTGTGGTTAAAAGACCTTCTCTCTCTCTCTCTCTCTCTCTCTCTCTGTTCAGCAAGATTCTAATTCAGTCATTTGTACTTTGGCAGTTTCTATTGTTTTCTAAAATTTATAGGCCTAAAATGCAAAGCAGAACATATCTTAAAGTCCTATTCTTACGTCATATTTGAGACTTCATTCAAATAAATGTAACTGTGATGACAACAACGTTTGAATAATTTTAGGAAATGGATAAATAACTGCTAAATGATGTAGTTCATGTTGGGAATGTATTAATCGTGCTGGATTTTGAGTAATTTCCCCACACTTTTGTTAACATTCTTTTTTAATGAAATTTAACGACATTGTTTGTCAACGCTTTATAAATCCTTAAGACCATTATATGAAAAAAAGTTGGGTATAGCTTATAGAAAGGCAAACTGAAAGGAAGCATAATTTTGTTATTAAACCATTATTGCATTAAATTCATACAGAGCAATTATGAACAAAGCAAGCTGGCTAAATTCTTTGATGCCTTTTTAAAATTTGAATTCAATATAGATTTCAACTTTTAAATCCAATATTCCATTTTGTTTCACAAGAAATATAAGCCTAAATTCATTAGCTGACAGGCCCAAACAAATGCTGACCCCCTCGATCAACACAGAGGATCCCAAACAATAGGTACATTTATTGTTTTAAATGTCTGCATATTTGCCTGTTGATCAGATTTAAATCTTCACGGCTGTGTCCCTGATGTACGGTTACTAAGAGCTCGTGTGCCTCTTATGAACACTGCTGACCTACCAGAAGAACATCAGTCAGTGCTCATCATTTGTATCATTACTAAGGATTTTATCGCTGCTTGTGAAGGGGAAGATTTCGATTAATTGTGAACTCTTCCTGGTTTGGCAGAGAGGTTTGTAATTACAGTGGACCCAGATATAAATAAGTTCAGTATCCGGACGATTTTTCATCGGAACGAAATTTTAAAATGTTATTCTGTCTTGTTTAACTGGTGATTCAGATATCCGGATGCTTCACATATCCGGACAAATTGACTGGGAACAAACGCGTCCGGATAAATGAGGGTCCACTGTACCATAAATAAGTGAGACTAAAAAAAGAAGAATAGAAAGTCTATCTTAAAAATCAGAGGGTCACAATGAATCAATATTTTATCTACCCACTGATCAATCATATATATATATATTTACTTTTTTTTTAAAACATTTTTTTAATCTTACTAATTATGATTAAAATGCATAAAATTTCAGAATTTTTGCGACGCCTAAATTGTATAAAGAATTAAGTCTTTTATACCTGTGAGGGTTATCTCTCTTATCAGAGGGACACTAAACCTTAAAATGGTCAAGGATCGAAAATATTTGTCATAAAATGCAAACTTAAGATGAAAAATCTACAATCAATAATGAATGGTATTAAGGAGGCAATAGCACCGTTTATTAGAGTAGTGGAATATTTGATTGACCCAATTTTAAAGGAACTATATTGTTCATTTAAGAAAAGCTATTTAAATTCCATTGTACATGGTGGTCGAAATTTTGAAAACTAGTTACCCCTCTTTGTCAGGGTTGCATTTGACGAGGTATTTAAAGCTTGATAAATATCTATATCTTAAAATTCAGTTCTGTATTGCCCATAACAATGCACGAGAGAAATAAGGGCATTTGTAACTCACTCTGTTTTTGTTTTGTGAATATTAGTCATAAGCGAAATGTAACAAATATCGAGCAACTGCTCCTTCTCTAAGCAAGTGCTTGCAAAAAGTTTCTCAAATTTAGATATACTTTCATTAATATGTCGAATCTATAAATCTAAGTGAACTTGATATAAAAGATACCTCAGAGTCTCACAAATTTGTTTCATATCTTGATATTTTACAACAAAAAGACATTAATGTTTAACCTAACTACAAAGTGACTTTATGATAAACGTCAACTTCCTTTACTTATTTTGCAATTTACTTATCACCTGCATACAGGGTCAAAGATTTTCAGTTAAGTCGATATGCAAGAGCATGCTCTACGTACGAAAAATTTCTAAAACGACTAAAACGAGGCAAGCTATTGCCAAACAAGTTGATGAATCAAGAATAACAACAGTCTCGTTAAAAGTCATCATTTCACAAATTCTATGGTCAATACAAAGACATTGTCAGCAAATACAATCTATCATAAAGTTGAATTCCGATTGACGTTTCTAATACTTAAATGTAAGCCCATTAGTTACATACTAATTTATCGAGGGATCTATATTGGTTTTAACGTGATAAGGAGCATCGAGTGGGAGTGAACGATCAATAAGTGATGCTCACTCTTCCTTAGCACCTGATCTCACCTCTGATGTTCTTATTTGTTCGTGTTTACTCTGGTCGAAATCTGTATTGTTTGAATGGACTACTGAGCTTACTTGTGATTCCTTCGTTTTCATATTTTATTAGTCCTTATATTTTCTATTCGTCCTAGAACCGGCACGGTAGAGTCTTGAACCTACGACCCACCAATCATGGAGAAAGCAGCTGTCTACTATGCTACTCTGGTGTTTAATTTGCTATCATCATAAAAAATATCGAAATTCTTCCATAAATTGTTCCATTTTTATAATTGTTGCAATCATGTTCACCAAATTAAAAAAAATATTACCAAGGTGTGGTTTACCTTTGATCAAAGTCTTATTGAAATCAAAGCAAACTGTTTTGAAAAAAAAAACAAAACTCAACATAAATATCTTTTTAAGTAACCATGTTCGTCGACAGTAAAACAGAAATATACATACAATTATCTCTTAGTTGTACACCAACTCATTGGTACTGAACTAAAACTGTAGGAGGAATTAAGAATTTCACTGAAATACAAAAAAAAATATTCTAAGAACTATACAATACATAGAATAGAATAAAAACCTTTTGATATGACTTTGAGCTATAGAGTTACAAGCATTAATTGTTAAATACATGCAGCTTACCGCCAGAGACAACAAATATATCATTTCTAAATTAAATCATATATTATCATATACTAGTATTTTTGGTACTTGTTGATCAAAACTTTCTAAAATTTTCTTTACTTTCTAACTTGAGTTCACGGGTGAATCTAGCTTTTATCCAGGCTCTATGTAGTGTGACATACATGTACTATGATGGGTTTGTTCCTATCTCGCCTTAACTGTAAAATGTAGCATTCCCATTTCGCCTTAGTAAGCTCTCAGGTGAATTAAGGTGATGATTTGATATATTTAACAAAAAGTATTTTTTGGTATTACACATATTATTTCATTCACAGTATTCATAAATTTCCATTAATTGTTAAATTCAATCTAAAAAAATTATTATTTTAATTTTTATATCAACCTAGTTATAATATTTACAAATACTGAAATTTCCATTTCGCCTTAGTACTTTTTAACTTTTTGTTACCTGTATTTCACAGTTAAGGCGAAATGGGAACACATCCTATGATGTGGGAATCAGTCGTTTAAGATTCTCTCGCATCAGAGTATCTGTCATATCTGATGAAATGACAAAAGGTGTCACACTTTTATTCATCTTTCCAAATTTATCGCCTTAATCAGGATGTTTATCACAATAATGACGATAAAAATAAAACAAAAGAAACAATGTGAAGGTAGGTCATTTAGTAGTATTTGGAGATGTGGAGAATAAATATTTCACAAAAAGCAATTTATTTATTATAAAATAACATTCAAAGTTTGACAGTAGATAACTTTAAAGATTCAATTTGACATTAGCTTCAAATTTTCCAATAATGGAAGAAAGATACATTGTAAGTTTTCAGTGATACCAATCTCTGAAAGTGATGACCAGTACAAGAATATAACTTAACGAATGTTATGACATTAGAATGTTTTTCTTCTCGAAATTTGAATGTTGTATATACAAAAAGTTAGTCTTGATGTGTTTGATATGAAGGACAATGTAGTACATTTACCCCACCCCTGTTGATTTTTCCGTGAAATCCTGGCTTACGATTGGTTGAAGTCTGTCACGTGAAGGCAGTATATACTGTTGATTTTTCCATGAAAGCTTAGTCTTGATGTGTTTGTTAACTTTTTTTTCACAAACACAAACGTTTTAACTATGTGATGAAGCATAGCAGAGGAAGATTTTATAAACCACAGATAAAACGGACATTCGTTACATAGTCTTTTAGTGAGACTCGGCTCCGCCTCGCCAGGTATGAAATTTACTAACCAGGTATCATCCCCTACCCTATCACTAAAAGACTATGTAACTAATAATACCGGGGTATATAAGTTTCTTTGATGCCAACAAAGAGAACTAAGTACTATTATGATAAAATAATTGATAAAATCTGAATACACTGACCCGTTATTTCCAGTATGGAAAATTACTTTTTACAGCAATCTTTTATTTTGTGCCCAACCCTAAGTGAATCCAATTAGTTTTTCTTAATTAGGATGTTCTCACAATAACAACGATAAACATAAAAGAAAAAACAATGTATATATAGATGAAACAAATGAAGATAACGAACAGTATTACATTTTTACCCGTGAAATACTGTAATTTATTCATTGAATAAAAATGATATCCTGTCACAGTGTGAAAGGATATCAAAATGATATCCTGTCACAGTGTGACGAATATCAGAAGTGCGGGAAAAATTTCCTTTCTCATAACGAAGATTGCTGTAAAAATATCTTCCTTCACCTAATGTAAGATAGATGGAAATAAATAAACCATTCTGACAGCGAATAAAACTGTCAAAATTACCAAATATATGTTGTCAAATTCATGTTTACAGTGTTTTCACCTCACTTAGCTATGACGTCTCAGCCACTCAACTATGACGTCGCGAGTCCATGAATGTATTACAAAAAAGACAGAGGCAAAGGAAAAATCTAAGATTTTTTTTTTTAAATGTAATAAACAGAAAATTCAATGTTTTGTAGTTGAATATGGAATTTATTTCACTCGTGAGACCGGATTTTTTGATATTTTCACTCGTGCTTCGCACTCGTGAAAATATCAAAAATCCTGTCCCACTCGTGAAATAAATTCCATATTCAACTACAAAACATTGAATATCCTCTATGTATTCAAGAACAGTATTCAAAAGTCCATAAAACAACACATATAGGAGCAGAGCAAACACGGACCTTCAAAACATCAGAGGTGGGAACAGGAGGGCCATGGAGGAGTAAGCATCCCCTGCTGACCGGTCATATCCGCCGTGTGCTCCTTGTCACGAGTGGGAAATAACGAAAAAATCCACCGTTAATTCAGTGTATAAATAATGGACTAAAAAAAAGTATGAAAAACGTCAGTCGGCATTTGACTCAATGATAAATTGTATTTGCAGACAAGGTTATTGTATCGACCATAGAACTTACGGAATGATGACTTTCAACGAGACTGCTGATATTCTTGTTTCATCAACTTGTTTGTCAATAATTCAATGTGTACCTCGTTTTAGAAATACTTCATAAGTAGAGAATGTTCTTGCGTATCAAATCAACTGATGTATATTGCTGCATATGTAAGGGAAGTTGACGACTGTAAAGTTAATGTCATTTCGGTTATCATAGAGCTTGGTTGTTAGATTACCATTAATGTTTTTTTTTTTCAAGTAAACTATCCAAACATGAAACAAATATGTCAGACTCTATGGTATATTTTATCCCAAGCTCACCGGGATATATCGTATCGACATATAGGTCTTAAAATATAGGATTTGGAACTGTTGGGTATTATAAATTTTTTTTCATTATTAAAAAAACAACATTTAAAATTTGCAATAAACGATGTGAAAGATTTATGCTGGTAATTTTTTTTTTCAAATACAGGTATTTGTTTCAATTTGATATTTGCTTTAAATTTTCCAATTAATGGAAGAAAGGCTCACATTTATTTTG